ATTCTTGAGCTCAAGAGATCCATCTGCCTCAGCCTTCATGGTAGCAGGGATAGCAGGCACATGGCACCATATCCCAATTCTAGGCCTCTTAATATTTAATCAGCACCAGTGTACCTTACAGGCTTTACTCTTATCACTTGCCTATCTCCATTTTTGGTCACCAGTCACATTCATAACTTTTATGCTACTACTTGTACATAATTTATCATTTTTAATACCCTGCTTCCTATTTATACCCATTATACATTTTTCATTGCCTTACAGGTGACTTATAATTGATTCTTCAGAAACTATGATATTCAACAACATGAAAATCATCAGAAAAATACTAGTTTTCAAACAGTGGATTTTAATTTCAAGGAGAAACTTGGGGTGAGTGAAAGTGTTTCTTCCATGAAATTTAACATTTCTCATTAAATCTAGACAAAACTTAATATCCATCTTTTCATTGCTCAGTCATTTTCAGTTATGCCTGACTCTTCATGACTCCATTTGGTGTTTTCTTGGCAAAGATACTATAGTGGTTTGCCATTTCCTTCTCCAACTCATTTTATAGTTGAGGAAACTGAGGCAAACAGGGAGAAGTGACTTGCCCAGAGTTACACACCTAGTACATGTCTTACTTGGAATGAAGAAAATGAGTCTTCCTGACTCTATCCAGAGGTCTAACATAACTATATTTACATTTCTCCTTCTTCTAAAAAGATTTTCTTATTCTCCATAAATGTTTTCTGTCAAGTTGCTCAGCTTTTGATAAACTAATTTTGAATATTATCACCACACAATCAAAAAGGCTGTATTTCTCACTTTACCTATCCCAGTTTCTGTTCTCCCTTACACATCAATCTTGTCCCTGGGCTACTTTGATTTTCTGAATATATTCCATATTGCTAGCATGTATGTCTAAATAAATCATTATTTGATTTTTGTATTCTCATAAACCATTTCTAAATATTTGGCTTTATCAGCTACCTTTTGACTATTTCTACTCCTATCTCTTCTTCTTGAAACTCAATCAAATTTCTCCTTTCATTGCCTTCCATATAACACTACTCTGTCAATAGTGATGCAGATTCTACTCCTTATATAGGTTTTCCCTTTCACATTTCTTGAGTAGGAAGTGGTACTTCATATTGCCAAACTTGACCTTTCTCCCTTCCAATTCATATCCATCTAGGATTCATTTATGGTCCCCAACAAATGCTAGTTACCTGACCTATGGGCAGCAAAAAATGTCTGCTTCCATTCATGGCAGTAGGCATGGCTCAGATTTACAGAGCACTATGAAAGTTTGTCTGAGCCTAAGGAATATAAGATTGGCTGGGTGAAAGGATCTACCTCGATCACTTCTAATCAACCTATAATATCTAGAAGTCTTAGCCTCAGTAACAAAAAAAAAAGTTTTGATATAACTGACCTAGTAACACAGATTAGCATCTGGTCTGCTTAAGAAATGACCCTTGAATCCACAGAGGCATAACAGAGATGTTATATAACAAAACAGATATTCACTGAAATGATAAATTCATTATGCCATAGTTGAACCCCGGTATAGTCCTGGCTACTTCACAGGGCTGAGATGAGTGGGACTCGAATGATATAAATGGTATGGAAAATACTTTGCAAGCCTTAGTACACTGCTAATATGCTCAGAGGGCACTTTCAGGATATCCTTATGGACAGTGCATGAAGACTCTAGTCGGGAGTCAAAGCTCTACTTGACTTAGAACCACCAAAAAACTAATGGAAAATAAATAAGACTTTTAGAAGACCTTTTCCTCCTCCTGCTAAGTTTATTAGTGGAATCACCATTAAGGGTTTTTGGTTTTGTTTTTAAAGCAATATTGACTTTTCTTCCCCTGATACATTCTTCAGGGATTTTTCCTGGAGCCAGACATAGACCCTGTACAAAGAAGAGAACTTGGTTCTAGAAATCTTACTCTGCACAAATTGAGAACAAAGCTTCCATTGTCTTTTTCAACACACCTGTATGGCATCATTTCAATTTAACACTGTTTTAGCACATAAATGGTATACAGACTCCATCCATTCTTATTTGTTGGGAATCCTTCCCTTAGTGAGGTAACTATAGGGCTACAAAGGATATTTTGGCCCCCCAAAATTGTTGCTAGTTCTCACAGATTCCAATCTTGGTGTTCATGTCTTCAATTACAACCTACAGACCTCTTTTTTTTTAATTTGAGAAGAAACTTCTGTTGAAAGAGTTGTGAGCTACCGACCATAAGCCTTCATTGCTCCAAATTCCATGAATTGTGAATACAAAGTATTCATATGTATGTATGTATGTATTGTATTATGTAGAATCGTATTAAAAAAACATGGTATTGTTCAATACTATAAATACATCCTAATTTTTTTCAAGGTGAAGAGGAGGAGAAAGGAGAGGAAGTAGGAGGAGGAAGAAGAGAAAAAGGAGGAGGAAGAGGGAGGAGAGGAGGAGGAAGAAGAGGAGGGAGGGAAGGAGAGGGAGAGAAGGAGGAGAACAAAGAAGAGGAGAAGGAGGCAATTCTAGAGCCATGAAGTGAAGGGAAGATTGAATAAAATCACCATTATCTTATATAATCATAATTCTACCCAACAGAAGAGTTTTATTCTATTTTATTTTATTTAGGCAATTGGAGTTAAGTGACTTGCCCAGGGTCACACAGCTAGTAAGTGTCAAATGTTTGGTCTGAGGCTAGATTTGAACTCAGGTAGTCCTGACTTCAGGGCCAGTACTTTATCCACTGTGCCACCTAGCTACCCCTAGAAGAGTTGTATATAGACAAATGTTTGCTAACCATCATACTTCAAATGAAGTCAGGGATGGGGGCATGAAATGTTTGTATAAAAATGGGCAGTTCATGGTGTTTAGTTTTTACATATTAGGGCTGTGTCCAAATACAATTCTACATGGATTTTACATTGCTTGCTCTATAGAGTTCACCTTACAAAATGCTAATACTTGGGAGTTTCTGTGTTACCCTTCATCTAAGTAGTGTGGTAAGGCTTCAGTGTGGTTATCATAGCAATGCAATCCCTCTTAGACCTTGATGACTGGAGTATGAGAAACTCTTTGATCATGCTGCCCCACTCTGGTCAAATGTGAGAAGTGCACCTGAAAAATACTAGATTTAATCACCATTATAAAAACATTTATAAGTGGTTCTGACTTTAACTATCTGCAAAGTCGTAAGAATTCAAAGCAATGCAGTATAGAACCTATACTATATTTATGCATAGCACTAAAATTACTTCCTACAAGCTCCACATCCCAACTTTGTTTATCACATTCAAAAGAAATATGAAAAGAAGTATGTTGTCAAATAGAGCAGCAAAGAATTAAGAGCGAAAAAACTTTATCCATTTATCCAGAACACCCAAATGATATAGCAGAAGTACCTGAGAGATTTTAAACAAAGGTCATGTAGATTAGGCCAAAAATTCTGATTAAATATGGGCTTTTTTATTTAAAAATTGAACTAATTCATTATGAGTACTGCAGAAATATTTCCAGTGTCATTTTACCTTGCAAATACAGGACATTGTGTTCCACAGGTGTACAATGTATTTTGTTATATATAACAAGTAGAAAGAAAGGGACTAGTGGGTTTGTTACTATTCTTTACTGACACTTACAAATGAAGCATATACTATTAATGGCAAAAGCTGCATGTTCTACTACTTATTTTGATTACTATTATAGCATATAGGTCATAGTTATATTTCAAATAATGATAAACTCTTGTAGAACTCTAATTCGTGAAAGAGGAGAGCAGTTTTATTGGTAAACATTTTTGGGGGGAAAATTGTCCCAATTCCTTTCCATTTAGAGTTTTTGTTCATATCAAAAAACATTTTCCTGGGTGTAGTAGATAAGAGCTGGATGACTAGAACCCTATTTGTCTTTTTAATAGTGTATCTTTAACTATTCAGTTCTAAATGGAAAGAAGAAACAGATTGTCTATGCTTTTCATGGTGTTTATCAAAATTTAATCAACAAATATAGAAGTTCCTAGAATGTGCAAAGCGCTGAGCTAGGTATTCCAGTAAGATGGACAGTCAGATAAAAGCAGTGGTGTCTTATGCTTACATTTCTCTCTGGATGAGTAAAGTAGATGGTCCACTAAGTAGAAGACTTGGTATTTTGAGACTTATACTTTCTAAACTCCTTGCATACACACAGCGTAGAGCAGTGGAGAGAGCACAGGGCCTGGAGTCAGGAAGACCTGTGTTCAAATCCCCCTCAGACACTTACTAGCCGTGTCATCCTGGGCAAGTCATTTAACCACCATTTGCCTCATTTTCCTCATATGTTCAAATGGCAAACCACTCTAGCATCTTTGCTAAGAAAACCCCAACAGAGTCAGATACAACTAAAATCGAATGACCAGCAACAAATGTATCCCCCAGAATTAGAATATTCTCTCTCCTCTCATTTTTTCTTATTTCAAGAAAAAAAAAATTCCTCATCTAAACCTTAGTTAGGTGCCACTTCCTCTGAGAAGCATATCTCCATAGGAAAGAATGCTTTGCTTACTTAAATTGGCCAGAAACACTTTGTCTGGATTTGTTATTATTTTTGTTTTGTTCACATTATACTCTACCTTGTACTAGGCTTTTCTGGAAACATATTCTACTAGACTGTAATTTTCTCGAAAGTAGGGATTGTAACCATTTTTATCTTCGTATCACCTCAATCACACAAGTGCTTTGCATACCCTAGGCATTTGATAAATATTTTTTAATTGAATGGTAAAAGAAAATCAAGACAGCTAGAGACAAGTGATTCTGTAAGTTTCCTGTCCCATGTCTAACTTTAAATTTAAGCCAAGTACCATTTTCTGAGCATTTGCAAGCTTATTTTTGACTCTCCAGAGAATGAATGAACACTGTCTTTCAGAAAGCCATTCTCAGATGGTTAACCTATTTTTCTCTAGAAACAATCCAATGCTCCATAATCTAGGTCAAACAACTAAATATAAAGGGAATGAAACTACCTGAGTCTCTGTCCACAGCTTCCACCTTGGTAACATATTGCCCTGGACCTTGATTTTCAGCAACTGTAGCTTCATAGAGTTGTTGCTTAAATTCTGGTGCCTCATCATTTATGTCAAGGACATAAATTGTCAAGGTCTGTGTTGCGGAGAGTGCTGGCAGGCCATCATCCAGTGACAGGAGGGTCAGTACATGAAAGGTTTGGGTTTCATAGTCCAAAGGACAAATAGTTGTTAACAAGCCTAGGTGGAGAAAGTTAAGTGATAAAAACGTCATCAATATCCCCAAAGGGGCAGGTGGTTTTCACAGTTCATCTATCTAACTAGGACATTTTGATGGAAATTCATTCAGGCTCTACAATTGTGAGGGAGCGGTGAGGGGAACTCAAACTCATTCAAAATTTTGATAAATGTTCATGACTGAAGCATAGAAATGAAGAATAAGAAGATTCAGTCCAATGTAAAATTAAAGAAATAATGGACCTTCTAGGATCCATTGAATGCAAAGGTTCTTAATCATTTTGTGTATGTGTGTGTGTGCGTGTGTGTATGTGTGATGGACACCTTTTTATCAGTCTAGTAAAGCCCTTCTCAAAATAACCTCTTTTTTAAATTCGCTAGTTTAAGAAAATGCTAAGTATCATTTAGAGATTAGTGAAAATAAAGATACATCATTTTTCTCGTTCAAGTTCAACGACCCCCTGAAAATGATTCATGGACTCCTTGGGGATTAGCTCCACGTAAAGAACCCCAGCTCGTCTCTCTCTCTACCTATAGGCTGTAATTAAACCATCTAAGACAGTCTAAGGGGCATTAGCAGTCTGAATCAGTATCTCAAATGGTACTCAGGATTACTGCAGGTCAAATTGCTATCCTGCCTAAATAAGCTGGTTATTGAGAATGTGAGTCTGGCTCTGGTCTCCTGAAATTCTCAGCGCGGCATTATAGAATTAGGTTCTCTTTCTACTGCCTATCTGTTAACTGCCTCTTTTACTGACAGTAAAAAGCAAAGACTTTATGAGGAAGACAATAAACTTCATGAATAAAACATGGTGGAGCTTGCAGCCCACTGTTGCTTTCTAACTACCCATATGCTGTAAGTGTGATAAAGATTTGTACTGGACAACTGCACCCAGATTCCCAGGATCAAATGTTCTTTTAAGGGTGGCATTTACTTCCATAAACAATTCAGCCTCCTATGAAGTTTTATTCCAAATAATTAAGGAGGAGGTTTTCTGGTTTAGAGTTCTACAAACCCACCTTTGAATAATTATTTCTCTTGAGCACTTTTCCTACTTTATAGCCTGGAACCATTGAAAACCCTTTTGCTAAAAGTCTGCTTATGAGAAATATGAACCTTGAAGAAAGATAAACCTTTCACACATGAATGTATTTGGCAATTATCATTTTATGTACCAGAAAAATGCCTAAGCAATTGAAAAAGTATTGCCACAGTCGAAGATCCATGACATCTTTTGCTGGGACACTTATCTGTCTAAATCTATCCATGTTTCTTTCTCTGACAGCCTTGAATAGACTGGCCTTAGCTATCCCAGGAAACAAAGTGGGTATCAGTGGAGCAACTGGGAGACCCAGATCCAGAGAAGATCAGTGGCCTACATTTGCCATATTTCTCCATCAGCTGGGTGTTTAGGTCATGCCCACATGCCCTCAGAAGAGAACCAGATGTGGACGATCCGTAAACACACAGAGGCAGAATATAATAAGGGACAGATCATGATTTCCAAATGCTTGACATCTATTCCCACGTCAATCAGCATACTCTTCGACAGGAGAATCTGCTGCTGCTATGTTTGGAGCAGTATTTCTAGGATTCAAGCAAAAGTTACCTCCCTTTCTGGGAAGTGAATGAGATATTAATTCAATTGCTTTTGGTTTTACTTGGAAACGAAGTTATTGTGAGGTTCATTTTCAGTATCACATAGAACTCTCCACATAGAACTCCTTACCAAAAGAACTGAAAGCATTTTTCAGATGGTGTACTATCACCATGTTTCTAAGGAAAGAGGAAAAGGTGAGTTTGAAAGTGGAAAGGAACACCAATTCTGCCATCTTTCTCTTACAGTTAAGCTGCTGACACTGTGGCAAATACATGTTTTTGCCACAACAAAGCAATGCAAATCTACTCAGTAGGTTTCTTGTGTGGACCTATTTACTTACATGGTGGCTTTCCCACAAGAAGGTAACTTCCTTGAGGGAAAGGACCACATTTTTGCCTTTCTTTATGTCACCGTGCTGAGTAGGTCAATGCTAAATGTTTGATAAATGCTGGTGGATTGGTTGACTGCTAAGTGGATGTGAACAGTAGCATCTTCATGCCCAAATCAGTCCCAGGATCATTTATGTGGGACCAACGTTGAGGCTACGTCTTCTGAGAGTCAGCATAAGTTTGGAGAGGCTCACCAGAAATTGTTTTAACCACTGCAGTTCTCAAATACCATCTCCTAAGACATAGAGCATTGCAATCCAAGCTGGCAGAGGCAGCATTCCCACCAATGAAATTATGGATGCTAAGAGTGCCAAAGTACCTTCATATGGCTTTGAAGTAAATTTTCTAGACTAATGTCTCAATCGACTGTCAGTAATTCAAGTTTAGAGCTTGACTATTTTAAAATCACCATCTCTGCCTCTACAGATACAAACAAGAGGCAGAGGAGGGGGTCAACTATTTGAAAATAATTTTAACCTGGAGTTTTGGGGGGGTTTTTTTGGCTAGGCAATGGGATTAAGTGACTTGCCCAGGGTCACACAGCTAGTAAGTGTTATGCGTATGAGGCCGGATTTGAACTCAGGTCCTCCTGAATCTAGGACTGGTGCTCTATCCACTGCACCACCTAGCTGCCCCCAATGACCTTTTTTTTAAAATACATTTTTGTTACCATGTCAATGTAATTGCTTTGCTTTTTAGTCATGTGTATTTTATTCTATGTATTTAAAAACATTATTCTGAGAAGGGGACCATAGGTTTCACAAGATTATCGGGAAGGTTCATGACACCAAAAAGAACCCCTGTTTCTCCCTCTCTCTCTCCTTTCTTCTCTTCTTTCTCTCTGTGTCTCTGTCTCTCTCTTTCTTTCCCTCTGTCTGTCTCTCTGTTTCTCTCTGTCTTTGTCTCTATGTTTCCCATATATTAGCCAGCCTATGATTTGGTAACCAAAGGTGGTCACTAGTACTTTTCTACAAAAGCTATCATTCATACATATGTCAGTTTGTGTCCACTGAAAATCTAACTCAAGCAGTAAGGAGAATGAAATACTAATGATAATTATATCTTTTCAAACTGTAGCTATCACATCTTGAGAACTATAATTCCATAAGAAAATATGAAAGAAGTTAAAAAGTATGAATTTACTTGGTTAAACATAGTTTAAAATTAAAGTTAACATATTCCACCCTACCTGATGTTCTCATCCAACGTGAAGGTTTTGTTTTCATTTCCTGAGAGAATGTGATATGTGATTCTTCCATTCCTTCCTTCATCTGCGTCCTTAGCAACAATGTGATGCACCAGGGAACCTATTCCTTCATCTTCTGAGATATAGGTAATAGCAGAGGACACAAAACTAGGACTGTGGTCATTGACATCTAAAATGACCACCTTGGCTGTCATGGTTCTCAATCTCCGGTCTGTTACATTTACAGCCTGGTCTGATGCTGTCACTGTCAAGATAAAGTACTGAATGGTCTCCCTATCCAATGGGGATGCAGTGACCAATGTGCCATATGAGGGGTGGATAAGAAAGGGATTTTCACCAAGACTGCTAGTTTCAATGAAATACTGTACTTTGCTGTTTAGAAAACTGCCATCTCCATCTTTGGCATTAAATGTGTAGACCAAAGTGCCTACAGAAACATTCTCCTCTATGCTGATCACTATGAAATCATCCTGGAAAGAAGGGGAATGGTCATTCTGGTCTTCCACATCAATACTAAGGAAGATGGTGCTATTCAGTGGAGGATTCTGGCTATTATCTTTTGTAGTCACCCTAAGAAGATAGTGAGAGGTCATTTCGTAGTCAAGTTCCCTAGAAAGAAATAAGTCCCCTGTTGAGCTGTCAATCTCAAAATGGATATCCTTGTCTTCTTCAATTATACTTAACTGTAGCTTTCCATTATGTTGCTGTAAATAATCAGGGGACTTTATCAGGCTCATTACTTTTGCAGGCTTAAAGTTTTCTGGTATGACCAAATGCTGAATATAACGAGAAACTGACGGCCTCTCTTTGGAGAGTGGAATCACCTGAAACAAAAAATATAGAAAATCTGCTGGGGGGTTTTTTTTTGTTTGTTTTCATTGTTCATTTCAACACTAATTTAGAGGGTGATTCATCAGAGAAAGTCAGCTCTTTTTATATTAGAACTGGGCAGACATCAAAAAATGCACAATACATAGTAGGTAAAGCCACTGCAGATCTTACTTACCCTGTTTGGTTTGTTCCAATATCTGAAATGAGAGTTTAGTGAAGTCATTCAAGGCTTAAACTATGCTAGAGTCTTGTGATTTCTTCACTGGGAATGTGGGTTGACTAGTGCCTCCTTTAAAGTTACCCAAAATTATCCTTTATCCCAGAGGCCAATGTATATGACAACATCTGTGTACATTTTAAGTATCATGTGTTTTTGTTTGTCTGAAACAAGAGACTTGAGGAATGATGATAGACGAGTTTTTCCTAACCCACACATCTCTAATCAATAATGAATTGGATTCGGAGACTGAGCTCTCAGGGACTTATTCTCCTTTTGCATTTGTATTAATGGTAATTACATGCATGCTCAAAAAGACTATTTATTCATACTCTTCCCCTCTCTTTTTTTACTGCTTTTTGTTGATTTTATTTATTTTTTTCTTTTTTTTTCCTTTTAAGGAGACTACCCACAGCTCATTTGTTCACCATGATTAAAGCAAAATCCAAAATTGCAAGTCCTAGAGTGACTTCTGTAAAACTCCAGAGAAATAATAACAAGCAATGGAATTTATTATGTAGGAGCTGCTTGTGCACAATTCATCCTGCATAGGTCTTTGGGAGTGGGAAGTATACTTTTAGAGGTAACCCAGGAGACATTTTTTGCACAAAAACAGAGGGAAAAATTTTTTAAACCATACAATGTATAACAAACCTTTTTACAAAGATTTTACAACACAGTTAACACTTTATCTCCTTCCTAATTCATCCAATTGCTACCAATATGAAGCTGAATGAATGAAATTCTCCCTTCAAAGAATGCAAATAATTGGTGCATGTTCATTCCACTCACTGGGGCAAGGAACAATGAGACCGAAGATTTACAAAGCTCCAAAACTGAAGGTTCAAGAGAAACCCACCTCAATGTGAATGACTGCATGTCCTTGAAGAGAAGGCATCCCCTGGTCACTTGCCACCACAAGCATCCTGTAATGCGGCCTATGGTTATGCGAGAGTGGGGTGATTGTTCTTATTTCTCCACTGTTGGCATCAATCTTAAAGTGCTCTGAACTCTCTTCTAATTGAAAACAGAATCAAGACTCTAATGTTAATTTACAAGTACGAAAGAAGAGATCCATTTGCCCAAACACACCTCTCTTTTCTAAAATTAACAAGCCTTAAATACTGTACTGATAGAAGTAGAAAGAGAATATTTCTAATAGAGGCCAAAAACAGCAAGAATGCTTTTTAAAAAAAATCCTGCTTGATCGAAGCACACTATTTGCTGTTTTTTCGTTCTGTTTTGTTTGTTTTCTCTTTCTTGTGGTTCCTTCTATTGGTTCTAATTCTTCCTTACAACATGACTAATGTGAAAATATATTTAATAGGAATGTATATGTATAGCCTATATCAGATTAAATGCTGTCTTGGGGAGGGAGGGGAAAGGAAGGGGGAGAAAAATTTAAAACTCAAAAGCTTATGGAAGTGATTATTGATAAAATAAATTAATAAATTTTTTTTCAAAAATCCTGCTTGAAATTTGGCTCTTCCAAAAAGCTAAACAGCTCTGAATAACACTAGCATTAAAGATGACTGTTAGAAGCACAAATACCATTACTAGAATTTTTTCATAATTTTTATTCCATTTATGATGCTTTTGTCAATGCAATAACGCAATAATTGCAGACACTTTTGTGAATATTTTGCTGTTTGTGTTATGTGTAATACATATTTGTGTGTGTATGTGTAAATGCACACAGATATCTCCATCCATCCATCGAGATAGCCAGCTAGCTCTCTATCTATCCATCCATGCATCCTTTTCCTAGAACTTTTCCATGGAGGATTTCAGCACAGAGTACAAATGCCAGAGAAATTCCCAATAGATGGTGAAGTCCTCTAGATGCTCTTGTCTGTATGTGGGATTGTGCTGGTTGCATCAAGCCCTAGGATACAGCAGAGAATCCTCAATGAGATCTATAATCATTTAATAATTCTGCCTATTTGCAGTGACTAGAAAAGAATGGCTATTGTCTAGACTGATATGTATTTGGATGGTGATCCAAAGAGTTGGTCCCTAAATGTATTTATCCCCTCTGGACACTGCTGATAAAGAATGAAGTAGGTCCAAGATTAAATAAGAGGGGGAGTACAGTCTGAAGTGCCTTTGGGAAATTGGAGTGGGCTTTTACTGACCACAGGTTTCTCTCTGAAACAAAGAATTATCTTTTTTTATATCAACGGGGCAATACTAAAAGGTGAGAAGCATAAATACAACCAAATCGAGGGGTTTCTAAGACTGTGGCATCCAGGAAGCCAAAAGTCCTAGCATGTTCCTGAAATGACAAAGATTAAGGAGACACTATGTCTGAGAGCAGAGAAATAAATTGGAACGCCATGATCCCAGCAGGTGCAGTCTTCAAGCAGATACCTGCACTAAATGCTAGAGCCACCTTATTCTAGCTCAAAGGCAAGAAAGAGAACTAGTGAAATCTTCTTCCATGTGTGAGTCTCAGAGAAACTGTTTCTCTTCTGCTGAGAATCCAAGACGAACTTTCACTCATGTGGGAGTACATAGTGAGACATATGTAGAATTATAAGATCGTAGATATTTTTCTATTGTTTTGTAATTCTTTCTCAATTAAATATTTTACATTTTGATTTGTGATTCCTGCTTGGTCTATGAGTAAGGTAGGTACACACTGAATTTGGATAACCTTTATAAGTTCCCAAGAAACTGGGTGGGGGCTCAAGTCATATGAGATAAATTATAATGATCCAAAATTCCCACATTGAACCCCAATCAGAGTGCATCTAGAGTTAAGCGGAAAATGGGTTACAGAAGCATTTTAAAATTAGATAATGTAGAAGAAATTCCATTACATTAACTATAATCCTACCAGTTCTTTCCATAAAAATAAACATATTTTTCTGCTTCTGAAAAGCACAGCTGTACTAAGAACCATATATTTCCTAACATGCATCAATGTCGAGAAATTAAGAATATAAGTAGGTTTAATCCACTGCTTGTTCTAGAGATTTGTAATTTAAATGATCTCTTATGATTCCCTCCTACAAGTCAAACACACAAAACCAAAATACAACATATCCCACAGCAGTACCGTAGTGACTGCAGTCAATTCGTGAAAGTATTACAAGAGTTTCATTCCTGCCCTTTCAGGGTGAGAAGTAATTCTATTTTATGATAGTTTACTTTTCATTCTTTCCTTGCCAATGTCAGGTAAATAATCACAAGTATAAATGGAATGGCCCATGAATGTGAGCCACAGCTAAGAACAAATAATAACCTGTGAGAAAACTTAGAATGAAGGGGCTATTGGAAACATCAGTTATGTTCTCTTGCAAAGTCTCCCTTCAATCACACTATAAGCTGTCCAAGTCAGTCATAATGGTTTTAAAAGTATTAAGCACAAAATACTAACCTCATAAATCTTTTGAAATAAAAAGACAGAGAATAAAAAGCAAATGCCATGGCCTCTGGATTCAAATACTACCCTGGACTCCATTCACTCCTGTCCCCAACAAAGCCTCACCATTTTTTATAACAAATCAAGGTTTATTGCTAACATATTTAATCCCCAAAACCCAAGAAATATAGGCAGCTTTGTCAAGAAATTGTTTTAAAAAGTGATTACTTGTTTGCATATGGAAATATAGTATATTTTTTGAGAAATACAAAAAGAAAGTTTCTCTATCCTATTTAACCACTGAATCACAAGTAAGGCAACTGAGAACTAAAATTAGAATGAAAACAAAAAAGGCTAATCAACAAGTATTTATTAAGCATTCACTATGTGCCAGGCATTGTCCTAACCTAAGTGCTAAGAATACCAAGAAAGGTAAAAATATAGTTCTTATCTTCAAATAGCTTACATTCTAATAGAGAAGGCAAGGTGAAACAAGTATGTTCATTCTATGTGCATACAAGATATAAACAATGTAAATGGAAGGTAAACTTGGAGAGATAGTCATGATGTCCTCATTAGGTAATCTGGTACACTACTTTAAATCTTTTTTATTTGTAAAGGGTTTTTTTTTCCTGTGTTTTGGCCACATATGTTATGTGTATCCACACAGATCTGTTTAGATATGGCTCACAGGGAGATAGGAACAGTTATGTTTAGAACCTCCTCCCCCTACTTTTATCCAAGAGAAATTTTGATTCCTGTCAGGAGGAGAGGCAGGATGTTGGGATCAGCAGCTGGCTAAGAAAAGCTAGCAGGATAGAATTCTATCTACTCCCTTAAACATTGTTAGTCTGGGGAAAATAATTTTTAGTTTTAAGTTGAGCTCCTGTTTACTATCCCTTAATGAGGAAGATGTGGCTCAAGCAATATATCCAAGGTTTGCTCCCCTTCTCACCAAGAGCTATTTCCACAATGAACATGCTTAGCAAATAGCAAATAAAACCATTTTCAAAGTCAATAACAAAAAGAAATAAAATAAAATCTACAGATGAGATTACATACCAAATGATAAACAGAGTGAATGACCTATTCCATTGGGTACAAGAAGTCTCAGCTCAAGCAAGAGAGAGAGAGAGAGAGAGAGAGAGAGAGAGAGAGAGAGAGAGAGAGAGAGAGAGAGAGAGAGAAAGGATCTGACATCTCATTCAAGGAGAAATTTCCCAAAGGCTTTATCTAGTGTACTAAGCTGGAAATAGGGACATGCTCCTCTATGAGTTAGTTTCTTCCCAGGGTCTTTCTTTCCCTTTAGGGACCTGAAGACAGTCTGAAACCAAGTCTTCTTTCTTAAAGCTAAAAGCCAGAAGAACAAGATTTTCCTTCTCTCAACTATGCCCCTTACACAGATGCAAAGAATTGAGTGAGAGTCTTGTGCAAATGAGCTTTGAATCATGACATATCACATATCATGAACATATGCATGAACATATACATGCATGTGTATATATGTATATATACATATGTGTGTGTGTGATTTTCATGCGTAGTGTTCAATATAGTCAATATATGTTCCCTTTAGAATTCCCAAAATGTTAAATATGCTTTTTACTCATATCCTAATGCTATGTATTGAGAAAAATGTAATCCTTGCCTCACAACATTAAAATGACTTATTAAAGCTGGAAGGCTTTTGTTTTGACACAGAAGGTACACTATCATTTTTTTCCCATTAAGGTTTCAAACTCCTTTTTTTCCATTATGGTTTCAAAATTAAGGTAATTTCAAATGAGTACAAACATGATTAGCTACAGTAAAGTCATACTGTATATAGGAATTAGGTACTAAATTAAGGTGAAAATCATAGGCAGCCAAATTGTTGAAAATTCTTCAAATTGCTCATCAAGTACAGTTACTGTCTTTAAAACAGCTGTAGTTGGAATGGGGCAAGGATTCTTGAGAGAAGGCAGTGGATATCTGCGAGCTAATCAAGCTCAGAGGATTGCTATGGATACAATCTAATGTAAATTTTGTTCTTTATAATACTTAACTAGTCTATTGGTCAGGAGAAGGGTAAGAACCAGAACTCATCAAGCAAAAAAAAAAACAAACCAATTAGCCATAAAGAAAACAAATGGGGCCAAGGAGGGGGTGACGAGGAGGTGCTCCAGAAAGGGTTTCACTCATAACGTTGATTATATTGAAATGTGATCACACTATTACATAACTGTTCCTTCTTTCAGTTTCACCATAAGGCAGGATGAGACACAAGGTAGTCAAAGAGAACACAGCAAGGGTGTTCTAACTGACTAGGAATTCTAGGAAAGATTATTATGGCTGCCCCTCTCAGTTTAAGCAGAATGAACAGACTCTGAGTGTGTTGGTGAGGATATTCTAGAAAAAACGTTTTTAATATGTGATCCCTCAACTTTTTTTAATGTTTGATAACTGTATTTCAGTAAAATTACTTTCCTTTATAGTGTTATATATTTTATTTTATGCATTTAAAAACATTATTCTAAGAAGGGATCCATAGGTCTCACCAGTCTGCCAAATGAGTCCATGACACAAAAAAAGGCTAAGGACCCCAATTCTAAAATCACACTCATCACAGTTAAGGTGGCCACCTTCTGATGTACTGAAGAAATAGCAACCAAGATGGAATAACTGGAGAGATTGCTCATACCATTTCAAATGTTTTTCTCTTCCCTTCTCTTCCCTTCTCTTCTCGTCTCTTCCCTTCTCTTCTCTTCTCTTCCCTTCCCTTCCCTTCTCTTCTCTTCCTTCCTTCCCTTCCCTTCTCTTCTCTTCTCTTCTCTTCTCTTCTCTTCTCTTCTCTTCTCTTCTCTTCTCTTCTCTTCCCTGCTCTTCTCTTCTCTTCTTCTCTTCTCTTCCCTTCTCTTCTCTTCTCTTCTCTTCTCTTCTCTTCTCTTCTCTTCTCTTCTCTTCTCTTCTCTTCTCTTCTCTTCTCTTCTCTTCTCTTCTCTTCTCTTCTCTTCTCTTCCCTTCTCTTCCCTTCCCTTCCCTTCTCTTCCCTTCTCTTCCCTTCTCTTCCCTTCTCTTCCTTCCCTTCCTTCCCTTCCTTCCCTTCCCTTCTCTTCCCTTCCCTTCCCTTCCCTTCTCTTCCCTTCTCTTCCCTTCCCTTCCCTTCTCTTCCCTTCCCTTCTCTTCTCTTCCCTTCTCTCTCCTTCTTCCCTTCCTTTCCCTCCCCTCTTCTTCAGCATGACTTGCAAACCACAAAATCTATCAGCCTTCAAGTTTTCTTAAAGACTTTATGTAATCTCTCCATAGCAATCATAAAATCTTACCTGAAGATAATGAATATAAAACTTCTCCATTGTTTCCTGAATCAAGATCCTTTGCAAATACAGTGGTAACCAACATATCTGCAGTCTGACCTTCCAGGACCTGCCACAAAAGCAAATGGCTTACAAGTGTTTGTTTCATAATTAAAAATAAAATGTATTAAAGAAACTTTAAATGAGACAGTATCATCTATTTAACTCTTCTCATTTACTTTTAAAATCGACATGAAATTCAGTTTTTCTCTCTGTAAAGCTATATTGGTAGAGGCCATGGAAATATGCCAAATTGCACATTTTAAAGAGCTCCATTTAAAGACAAACCAACTGCCCTTCAGGGTATTTGACAGATTCTAGTAACTCTTTAAAAGAAGGAAATCAAGGAAATTGAAAACACTGATATTGTGAATTTCCTTTGGGGATTCTAGCACCTCATTATAGATTATTTTACCACTAAGCCCTCCTTGTCAAGGTACTAAAAAAAAAAAAGTGGTGCATATGCTTGCCCATAAAGGTTATACACACAAAGGGGCTGTCATGGACAATCACATTGGAGGAAAATACAAAATCTTACTACAAGGACAAAGTATGTGTGTCTCCTCATTCCACATTTCTATGGTAGGCACACAAATCTGGACAATATTTCAATTACCCATAGGGCACAAGGCCAATAACTTATTGGGCTTTCATATAGTCCCTAACTTGGAAAGCTGGATCAGAGATATAACTTCCTTAACAAATGTACGTGTGTAGTGTGAGATCAGGATTATCCAGATAAAGTAAGTACATACAATTATGTGGATACAAATCCATTGCATCAAAAATAATTGGGGGGGGTATTCAGTAAGTTTATATAAGAATAGGATGACTGGGTCATTTTTTTAGAGCATCACATTAACAAGATTTGTTAACATGAGGTGATTCATGCAAGGTCTGGTTAGCTTTGGGTAGAGAAGTGGAGGTGTGGGTAGAGTGGGATAAGGGAGGGAAGTACTGAATTAGTGATGGAAGAGAAATCAGTGCAAAGCTTCCAAATCTCCTAATAGAGCAGTTCAAACTCATTAATGGTTGGTAAGGTGATCTTTTTTTTCAACATTTCAATTTATTATTTATTCATTTTTAATACTTTTCTTTTAAAATTTTGAATTCCAAATTCTCTCTCCCACTCTGTCCCCACCCACTGAGAAAGCAAGTAATATATAAATTATACATGTTAATTCAAAACCTATTTCCATATTAACCATGTTTCCAAAAAAAAAGCAAGAAAAATAAAGAAAATAAATTATACTTCAGATTGTACCGAGAGTTCATTAGTTCTCTCTAGGGATGGATAGTATTTTTTCATCATAAGTTTAGGTGATCTTTCTAATTGAAGATCAGTACTCTGTGATGATAAGAACAACTAGCTTTAACAGCCTCTAAATGGCAAAAATATAAAATTAGGATTTAGTTTGCTAAAAGAAATTGCAAAGTTCTGGCCCAATGTTTATTTGATGAACCAAATTCTTCACTGAGATAGTATTTGAAAAATTCAAATTTTTTACCACAAGATGGTGCTCAAAACAAATGATGCATACTCTTACATGAGTGGGAATTATGGGATCACAGTGAATCTCTAGAACTCCAAGAGACCTTCAGTATCTTCAAAATGCAATTCCAACATTTTATAGCTGAGAAAACAAGTCTGAGAGGGAGAGAGGGAGAGCTTGCTCAAGGTCACACCCTTAGTAAGCAGAGCTCTCTCTATCACAGTTCATTTAAAATTACTTGGCTCCACAAACCTTAATTTTGAGTTCTTTTCCAGGAAGAAATTGGGGAAAATAAGGTTTGTTATCATTAAGGTCTGTAACGGAGATGTAAGTTATCATGGTGGCATTTTGTGGTGGGGAGCCATGGTCAGTCACTAGAACCATCAGCTGGTGATGTACTTGCTGCTCCCGGTCTAATGCCATCCAATTTATAATTTCACCTAAAGGATACAGGATAAAATAAAACAGATAAAAACAATAAATAGCAAAATCTTTACATTAGATATCACTATCCAAAAATCCTATAGAAACAACTACTATGTCTAAAATACTATATGAAATAATTAATAAAATGAATAATATGAATAACTAGTATTTATATAATACCTACTATGTGGCAGGCAATGTGCTAAGAACTTTACAAATCTCATTTTTATCCTCACAGCGACACTGGGAGATAGGTACTATTACTATCCCCATTTTACAGATGAAAAAACTAAAACAAATTGGTTAAGTAACTTGCCCAGAGCCTCATTGCTAGTAAGTTTCTGAGGCTGGATTCTAATTCAGGTCCTCCTCACTCCAGGGCCAGCACTCTATCCTCTGAACCATCTAATTGCCAAAAATGGATAACATTAACACATTAATAAATGCTTGTTGACTATTGACTATATGATGGCTTTTCTTGCTGGTTAAGACATTCTGTCCCAATTTAATAATCTGACCATACACAATGTTGTCTTAGCCGAAAGGCTCACCATCAACGCGGTGCTCATTAAACGACTCATTCTTTGGCCATGGTGCCCCAACAGCATGATTTCCCCAATGGATGTTTTAAAATAAATTACTTTTCAGAAAATGTGGAATAATGGTATGATTTTAAGTACCATTCTTTTATCTCCCATATATATTTCAGTGTTCTTAAGTACCATTGGGGGGAGGTACTTACTTGTACCACCTTAAGTAATGTCTTATCTTCAGCCCACATATTAATTTTATTCATCACTTCACAAAATATGTTGAATCCTTAAGTAGGCATCTTAGTGACATACATAAAATGCTTCATATGCAACTTTTTCTGAATCCTTGCAATTTTCCCAGAGCGATGTCATTCTATAGGATTAACCTCGTGTTTCGGAGGGCAAGATTTGGTTATAAAAAGGTCAAGTACCTTGATCCAGAGTCAATAAGAGTCAATAATAGGCAGAATGTGAGGAAAACGTTCTGGTCCTCTGTTTCCTAGGGTCTCTGTCTCCTAGCTCCCTCTAGTTGCAAAATATAGGAAAATGCTCATGTATGAGAACATTGTTTTGAAGACAATATCTACCCTGTCCCTTGATATGCTATGTTCTCTAGTATTATTAAGGTGCTATTATATTAACAAGTAATAATAGAGAGGCAATGTGGTGTAGAAGATAGAAAACTTGCATCAGAGTCAGGAGGATCTTGGTTCAAATTATCCTTTTGATGTGAATTGACTATACGACCCTAGACAAGTCAGTTAACCTCTCCTAGGCAGCTCTCAAAGACCAGAAACTTCAGAGCAAGGAAATGCCAGAGTGCATTGATAAAGGGAGTTGCCTTGTAGGGTTCCCTACACTAATAAAATCACAGATCTGGCCTATGCATCCCTCCAAAATTAACAATAATATATAATTAGTAAACAATAATAGTAACCCTTTGTGGGGCCAGAAAACCAAGAGCTAGAATTCCATTTGTGTAAGGATTTCCTGGTTTGGAAATTCCCTCAATCAATCCTTCTACTCCCTAAATATAAAGAGACATTTCATCTTTAACTTACCAAATTAAAGGGTCGTCTGTGGCACTGAGAGCATTAGTGACCTGCCCACAGTCACACAGGAAGTATGGCTCAGAGTCAGGATTTGAACTCATATCTTCTTCACTGTAAGACCAGTCCCCTATACAACTATATCACACTACCTATTAATACTGAACAATAACAATATCAAATAGTAACTATTATGTAAGTAAGGAACAAATACCAGCTTACAACTGCCTTCTACAGTTTACAAAGAGTTTTTACATACTCCTCTTTTTAAATGATCTTTACAATTCCACCCTCTTCACTCTCTTTCACACAAATCCCTGTGTGCCTACTAACTACGCCCTAGAACTAAGTTTCAGCTGCTACTGGATCTTCAGCCAGATCAAATCCAACCTTATGCCCTTACTAGCTTTGTGATCCTGAGCAAGTCACTTAAACCTCTGTTTGCCTCAGTTTCATCATCTATAAAATAGGGATAATAATAGTACATCTATATGCTAGGACTGTTATGAGATTTAAATGAGATGACAAATATAAAGTACTTAACATAGTGCCTGGGACATGTTGTTGGTGTTTTGAGTTGTCTCAATCCTGTCCGATTCTTCGTGGCCCCATCTGGGGTTTTCTTGGCAAAGATACTGGAGTGATTTGCCATTGCCTTCTCTAGCTCATTTTACAAATAACGAAACTGAGGCAAACAGGGTTAAGTGATCTGCCCAGGGTTACACAGCCAGTAAATGTTTGAAGTCAGATTGAACTCATGAGGGTGAGAATTCCTGACTCCAGGCCCAGCTCTATCCACTGCTCCACCTAGGTGCTCTGCCTGGATGTAGTAAGTGCTAGATAAATGTTTTTATTGTCGTTTTTATTGTCGTTGTTATTCTCCTAGCATTCACCAAATTCATCATCTGAATTCATTCCCTTTTTCTTCGTTCTCTGTCTCCATATCTGGGTCACAAACCTCAGAAACTCCCAACTCCTGGTGTCTGTCCCCAAACCCAGCAAAAGTGCCTCTCATTTACAGTTTTGTTCCTATTCTCCCACTCATCCATCTACTGGTCTCTGCACCAACTCACTCACACTAGTTCTTGGTCTACACTGCTGTCTTCACCAGACTAGGACTAGTTTCTACACTGTGCCCTTGGAGAACTTTAGCACCAGGGCTTTTTTCCAATGCATCTACAAAAGAATGGGGCCTAAGATGGCAACCACGGGCTGCTGTGTGCCCTTGTTCAACCTCCCTTTAAAAGCAATTCCCTTTTGCTGTCTGTGTCAAACCAGACTAAATGAAGTTTTACTAGCTACTCTCAATGTTGGGGATTAAGGACCTTTTTCATAGTTGTGGGAGGGAAAGTAGTTAACAGAGGTAATGCACCTGGTATATTTTTATCTTTAAAAAATACCGAGAAGGGCAGGTAAGTGGCACAGTGGATAGAGCACCAGGCCTGGAGTCAGGAGGACCTGAGTTCAAATCTGGCCTCAGACCAGACACTTGACACTTACTACCTGTGTGACCCTGGGCAAGTCACTTAACTCCAATTGCATCACCCAAAAATAAATAAATAAATGATACTGAGAGAAACAAAAGGTATAGAAATCTGTTCTGACAGTTAATTTCTTGGCATAAAGATTCATGGTATTGGGTGCTGGAAGAGGCCTTAAAAATGCAACTCTTATACAGACTCCATAAACTATGCACATAATAATTAATTACTTGCAAGATGAAAAATGTATGTGGTTTCATGGGTTGCCACACACATTTCATGTGGCAAATTGTGAACAAATAACTTTAAATAATAAGACCGTGGAATCCTAGAAGGCATGGGAAGGGACCTCAGAGGATCAGAAATGTGTGCCTCCCTATCCCCAACCCCAAGGACTATTACCTTAGGGTTTATGAACGTGTGTGTGTGTGTGTGTGTGTGTGTGTGTGTGTGTGTGTGTTTTCCTAAAAGGGCATAAATAGAGACATCCAACCCTAGGATCATTTTGACATCTGGTCAATGGATTTATTCCTGAAAGCTTGACATTAATGAGATAAATGTGTGGTGGATAAGGATTTTGACATTTTGCAAAAGATTGACTGAAAGAATACCCAACAATAGGAAGGAGGGAAAATGAGCAGAAACTAGAAACTAAAAAACCTTGAGTGAGTCACTTAACCACCCTTGGCTTCTCTTTCTTTATAGATAGAGTGGGTTGAACATGAAACCTCTGTGAGGTCCCTTCCAGCTCTACCTACAGTCCTAGAACTTGTATATGGAGCCTCACCAGATTGATTTCTGTCTTGCCTCTAATTCAGATGAAAAATGTTTTCACCACTTGAATCAAATGCTATCCACATAAACTGGAAAGCCTGTGTGAATAACAGTGCTGTAATCTTTGGCTGTGAAGTACAATTGAATGTTTCCAGTTTAGACAGCATAATTGCTAAAGTGCCATTCAATTCTGACTTCTTAAAGTCACACAATAGTAGAACAGTGTATGTTGCTTCCTGGACCCCTGCTATAATCATACGTGTATATGCGATGTTCTATCTAATCGATCAAGCAATCAAAAGACATTATTCAACACTCTCTATATACCAGGCACCACACAAGGAAATAGGACTACACACACAAAAAGTGAAACAATCATTACCCATAAAGAACTTACCGAAATATACGACATTTGTTAATGCTACAAGAAAAGCAAGATAAACAGCATCCTACCTGTGTTGGGATTTATCTTGAAGAATTTCCCATCAGATAAAAGGAAGTATGACAACTGTCCATTTTTTCCAGAGTCTCTGTCAGTCGCTACAACTGTTCCTATTACCCCTTGGGGTGTGGGGTTCTCTTCAACTTGCAAAAAAAGGACATCATGCAAAAAGGTTGGACAATTGTCATTTTCATCTAGAACATGAACTGTTATGGCCGTACTCACATTTTGCCTCAACCTGTCCTCCAGGCTCCAGGCAAATACTTTGAAATGGTATATTTGCGATATTTCATAATTCAGTGGCCTCTGCAAAAAAATCCAACCTGTAGAAGCATCAATGCCAAATGCAACAGAGTCTGTGGTGGGTTCCAGCGAGTACACAATATGGGATGTCTTATGATGTGGCTCTAGGGAGAAGGCCTGGACTTGAAGTATCCTGGTTGTTGGTGAAAGGAATTCACTTATTTCTATCTGATAGACTAAGTGTTCAAAAACCAAAGGAGGCTTCAAGTGTGGTTTTTCAATACTCACTGTCAACATCAACAGAGATGTTAAGGGGGGAACTCCTAGGTCCTTAGCCCTGATATACAGAGACCTACTCTGCTGCATTTCTTGCCCAAGGGTCCCACTGAGGTATATGACACCAGTATCCGAATCAATGGTGAAGATGCTTGACCTCTGGTTTTCGATGGTATATTGGACAAATCCATTCTGGCCACTGTCTTTGTCTTCTGCATGAGCAATATATAAGGCTGTGCCAGGCAGTGTACTCTGTAATAACCTCACCTCATCAGAAGCTGTACGAAAAATGGGAGGGTTATCATTGACATCAATCACAGTGATGTTGACTTGGGTGCTACTATAGACAGGTGAGCTGCCCAATTGTGACTGGATAGTGAGGATAACTCTGGGCTGCGTTTCATGATCCAGCTGCTTCCGAGTACGAATGACACCAAACCTAGGGTCAATAGTGAAACTCCCAGAGGGATCTCCAGAAGAAATTCTATAAGATACTGTCTCCAAGGAATCTGAAGGAAAGAAGAGGGGGAAGAGCAAAGCAATCATTGCAAGTAATAAAATCAAAGCACTACTTCCGATAAGCAGAAAGATTTGACTGCTATTCTAAATGACATCTGTGAAGAATATAACACAATCTGTTACTCCATCCTAGACTCTTAATATTTTCTTGCTCATGGCCTTGGAGCCTCTCCACAACATGTCCTGTTTACCATATAAAACTGAACACAGTTGGGTCATTCTGGGAATGTTTGGTTTTTCACTCAAACATATGATGAATAGTCGAAGACCAAACCAGTGTTCTCTTTTTAATCTTTCATTTTTCTTGCATTAGATAAAAGGGACAAATATTCAGAAGATCACTGGTTTTTTCTGGTCATGAAAACCCAAAACAATTTAATTTATATATTTCTCTTCTTCTAACTTACAGAAGGATAAAAATGTCCTTTTTCTACAAGTAAAAAAGAGGAAGGAATGAAATAAATTAAAAGAAAGTAGAAGCTTAATTTCTCATTTTTTATTCCCCTTTTGGGAAAGTACATTCAGTAAGGCAGGGAGATATGGGAGAAAAGGGAGAATTGTCTCATAGCTTTAAGATGCAGAGCCAAACAGAAAACCTCTGACTACAAAACCTCTAAATGCAACAGGAGAAGTAACCACTTACTTAAAGGCTCTCTTGCTTTCACAGTTCCAACAGGGCTGTCTTCAGGCATGTCTTCATGAATGGAGAAGACATATTTCGACCTTTCAAAAATGGCAGGTGCCAGAGCAGTATGGAGGATGTGGATGGTGACATCTGCATTAGTTACAGATGTGAGCCCACCACCATCTCGGGCAGAGACAGTCAAAAGCGCGCTAGAAGTCTCCAAGTGACTAAGAGTTGACATTAAATAAATAATCCCTGAGGGAAGGGAAAATGAGAATCAATTAATAAAAACCTTGAGCAATGATTATAATCTGTATCTGAAAAGTACCATAGAGGATTCTGGTATTCTTTGCAATGGAATTGCCAGATGCCAGGTGAGAAAGAGGGAGCAGGGTAGAGGGGTCTAGAAATTGGGTATCGATGGAGGTGCCAAAACTCTCTCAAGGAAAGCAAAACATTCTGTTGCTGTGTACTCTTTACCACCTACTGACTATAGGGAGGTGGTCAATAGAAAACACTATTTCGGAGTGCTCTAAGGAAGATGGGAGGCTCTCCCACTGGCATCTGGGGCCATCGCCAGTCATCCAGATCTATATCTTGCCATTAAACTCCAAGGACTCTGGAGCAGTGAGGCTGATGACTTTTCACAGCCCTGCCTCACTTAAATCCACTTCCCTAGCAAGACATCACCCTGCCAATGTCACTGATCCTCTTCAACAATGAAAGTCCAACAACAACAACAAGAAGCAAGCAAGTTGGGTCAAGAATCTTCCGCAAAGAGAAAGCATGGATGGACTGGGTGAGGAGTCAGAGGATTTGAGTTCAAATCCTACATATATGAGGCTTAATATCTGTGTTACCTTGGGCAAGTCAGCCACCCTGGCCATCAGTTTCCTCAACTGCAAAATGAGTAGGTTGGCCTTGACAAACCCTGAAGGACCTTCCAAATTTCGATCCATGCTTTTGTGAGCCTGTGGTCACAAACTACACCACTGCAGCATCAGCGACTTTACAAATCTCTTGGAACAGCAGTGTCAATAGGAAATAGAACCATTTGTGAGGGGAGTAGGGTGCCTTCATCAACCTCTCCTGTTAGTCCCTTCCCCTGCCTGCTTTCTCCCTCCCCTTTCTGACCGGTCAAATCCTGCTAATATCTGAAGGTTCAACTCAAGCCCCACCTCCTTAATGAAGCCTTCTCAACCCATGCCAGCCCCTATTTGGCTCTCCACCCTGATGTTACTCACTCACACACTTTATTGTTCTGGGGTTATTCCATGTTTTCCTTTTTGCTTCCCCTACTAAACTGTAGGTTCTTTAAAGGCAGGAATCGCACCATAATGCTTTTTCTGTATCAGGCCATACTGTCCATCTGCCATTGCTCTCCCTACCCTACACCCACCAAGTGCTGAACATAGCAGCTATTTGATATGTCTATGTTGATCCTGAAGCAATGACTTGTCCAGTGTCATAATGTACAATAACAACAGCATGAAACAGAATCTAGTGTAGGGTGAGGGTATTTCTTTTGTCTTTAGCTGTTGTCTATTCCTTGGAATTCCTTGAGGGCAGAAATATAATCTCTTTAATAGTAATCAAAAACATATTAAATGAGGGTGACAGTTATGTTCAATTCACAACATTTTGAACTGAAGAGGATGAAGGATCAGAGATTTTGATCTGGAAGGGATCTTCAAGGTCATCAGATTTAATGCCCTCATTTTACAGATGAGGAAACTGAGTCTTGGAGAAGTCAAGAGACTTGCCCGAGGTTATACAGCTAGTAAGTATCTAAGGTAGAATTTGAACCCACATCTTCCTAAATCCAGTGCTCTATTCACTGCACCACATTGCTTCTTATACCATAAAAAAGTATAATTTCTTCCCTCAAAAATCTCATAGTCCAGTGAGGAAAACAAGATGCACATATGCAGGACAAAAGGGGAAAGAGACATTTCTGAAAAGCGGTACTGCTCCCCAGGAATTGCCAGCAGCATGAGAGTCAGTGGGGTGAGCCCACACACTGTCCCTGAGTCATGCACAAACTACTCTCTTGGATATATGACATGATGCATGTTCCGATCCCAGGTCCCCCAAACTACTTGGGGTTCGAACTTTACAGAGTTTTAGACAAAGTGAACATGACACAGATAAGACACTGTCCCATCACCTGTAAAGCAAAGCAGTGGGGTGGTCTACACAGAGTTTCCAAATATGTAAATGCAGGCCACATGCAGCCCATGAGACTCCCAAGTGCATCCTGTGCCAGATAAAAATGTAGTTCCTATCGAATTTAATGATTGATGTATTAATAATTAAAAAAAAGAAATACATAAATAGGTGGCTTTTTAAAGTTAACATGTGGCCCACAGGGAACTTTATGTAAAGTTTAGTGGCCCCTATTGCTATTTGAGTTTGATACTACCAGTCTACTAGACCACTGAACTAGGAGTAGTCTCCAAATTGCCTAATAAAATCAGAAATGCAGGGCAGGGACCCAGGAGACTTAACTCTAGTTGTGACACAGAGAATCAGTTGTTAAACATTTAACACCTTACCACACTGCCTAGGGTCCATAGACCCTGCGGGTCTGCAGATAGATTTCAGAGGATTCATGAACTTGGATGGGGAAAAAATACATTTTTATTTTCACTATAATTGGTCCATCTAACTGATTCTTAACTAGGTATGACACAAAAACCATTAAGAACCCCTCATTTAGGGAGATAAGGCTAAAAAGTAGGTTAAGACTAAACTAGGGATGGCCTCGGATTTCTGGTTAAGTAGTCAGGAATTAACATTATATAGGTAATGAGGAATATCAGAGGCTTTCCAGCTAAGGTATGACAAGGTACATTGTGGATACTTTTCAACAAATATCAGTTAGTGAAGATAACTATATGACCCTCTTATCAATATCCTCTAAAAAGCTCCCCCCACAAAAAAATACTGACTGCATTGAAGGCACATTTGCTAAAGTCATAAGAACACTTCCTCAAAGGAAGGCAGAAAGTGATTTTTCAGAAACCTAGAATCCCTCTCTCAAAATGTTAGCGGTGTGGACAAGATGGACAATGGACAAAGCGTAGTACAGCAGGCCTCCTTACCTTCAGCTGCGCAGAAAGCAAGAACACATACCAGCCAAAGAAGGTTTAGATTAGGCCTTTTGATTTTCAGCCTTAAAAGTAATTGCAAGAGACACCTCTCTAAAAATAGAATTCATGCTATGTTTAAAAGCTTCGGTAATGAATATCAATGAAGAGTATAAGAGTAAGTAAGTAAGCAGAGCTCCTCAGAGGTCACGTTCTAGCACAAGAACTTGCAAAGTTGAGATAAACAAGCATTCTAAGCTGACTGCATCAAGGAAAAAAAAAAGATAAGAGAGCAGCAGGAAGAGGACCAGATCTGAAGGCAGAAGACTCAGGTTCAAATCTTTGCTCTTCGATTTCCTTTTTGGCCTCAGTTTCCTCATCTGAAAAATGAGTGCATGGACTAAATCAGGGTGGGAAACCTGTGGCATTGAGGCCATATGCAGCCTTCTGGGTCCTTGAGTGCGGCTTTTGACTGAGTCCAAGTTTTACAGAACAAATTCTCTTATTAAACGGATTTGCTCTGTGAAGTTTGGATTCAGTCAAAGGGCCAATTTGAGGACCTAGAGGGCCCCATGTGGCCTCGGGGCCACAGGTTCCCCACCCTCAAACTAAATGATTTCTAAACTCCTTTCTAGTTTGAACTCTATGAACTTAATTCTATCCATAGAAATGTGGAAGAAACAAACAGACAAATAAATAAAACTAAGCTGCAGAACAAAAAAAAAAGAATGTCAGAATAATTCTTCAAAGCATTTGGAGACATCATGAATAACAGTAATGCTTTAAGCATTCAATAGCCTTAGAAAAATGAATCACTGGTAAAATTTGGCCAAGAAAAAAAAACTTTAATCAAATAAATACCTGGATTAGACTATCAGTTAAAAACAGTGGAAGTTTTTGCTCAAAGCCAGCTCATATTTACCACCCCACAATAGTTAACCTTTCTAATCAAGATATTTTACCAGTAAGGTAAGTATTCCACGATTTGGCAAGAGGGAGAAAAAAACAACAACAAAGAACCAAGGCTGGGCCATGTTCCAGTTCTCACACCATTCCGGGGTGATGGTTCCTATTACCAAGAGGAAAGCTAGCAGGTAGGACATGATAGTTTAAAAACTCTAAGGAGGACTCATGCAGGAAAGAGAGCTCCTGCTTGCCAAGAGGAAAGTGCTTTGATAGTGGAAGGGAGGGGGAAAGTGTTTTTTTTTTAAATTTCTCTCAACCAATGATAGCACATAAAGGATTTGACAACACTGGGCACATCCCTCCTTTCTGTCTTCACTAGGTGTTGCTTGAAAAGGCCACATGTGTTACCCAATAGACCCATCTCTCCTTTCACAAAGAGCTCAGAAGTTGAAGCCAAACTTCTTACAGCCCCCAAACCAAGGGAAGATATCCTCAGTATGTAAGCTCCCCAGCCAAAAAAGGACTCTATAAAGAGAAGCAGGTCAATTTGGAATAAACAAGAACCTTGTTAATCCCATCTACTAAATTCTAGCCAAATCTTTTTATGGGGTTAGAAACTCCACTCACCAACTTGCTGTGTGGCTCCCAAGCTGGTCACTCTGACTTCTCCTTGTCTGAACTTTCTCATCTGTGAAATGTAGGGGGAGGTTAAACCCCAGGAGTCTGGGGTATTCATTAAGGTTTGGAAAGTGCTCCATTCTGGCAGAGGAAAGTGTTGTTTCCGAATAACTATTCTCTCACCAGATCAATTTGCCACCAAACTCCACACAAGTTAATCATTATTACTAAGAAAAGGACTTCATTTGCAAATTCTCTTTTCTTTGTCATGGAATGGCTTTGTTCCACTGGTGGCAAGCAGAAGAGGGCTGGAAAATGCCTAAGATCAACAGAGCCTTTTTTGTGTGTCTGGCACAAGGCTTGGAAAAACCTGAAATATCTAATTAAAGACTTTTGTTTCAGTAGGTGGAGGACGATAAACTGTATTGTATTTCAAAAGAGAAGCTATACTTCTACTAATGTTTAGTCTGTGGAACTATATTGTAATTTAAATTTTGTATTAGGTTGACTGTTTCAAAGAGCAGGGCAAGGTGGGCTGGTATATGAATAAGGCAAAAAAAAAATGAGGCATTATAATTAGTGGAAGGCATTAGACTTTGAGCTGATGGAAGAGGAGACAGCACAGTGCAGTGGAAAGAATAT